TAGATATATAAATATATAAATATATAGATATATAAATATATAAATATATAGATATATAGATATATAGATATATAGATATATAAATATATAAATATATAGATATATAGATATATAGATATATAGATATATAGATATATAGATATATAAATATATAATTATATAATTATATAAATTAATTTATAAATATATAAATATATAAATATATGAATATATAAATATATAAATATATAAATATATGAATATATAAATATATGAATATATAAATATATGAATATATAATTATATAAATATATAAATATATAAATATATAAATATATAAATATATAAATATATAAATATATAAATATATAAATATATAAATATATAAATATATAAATATATAAATATATAAATATATAAATATATAAATATATAAATATATAAATATATAAATATATAAATATATAAATATATAAATATATAAATATAAATATATAAATNAATATATAAATATATAAATATATAAATATATAAATATATAAATATATAAATATATAAATATATAAATATATAAATATATAAATATATAAATATATAAATATATAAATATATAAATATATAAATATATAAATATATAAATATATAAATATATAAATATATAAATATATAAATATAAATATATAAATATATAAATATATAACATATAAATATATAAATATAAATATATAAATAAATAAATATATAAATATATATATATATACATATATAAATAGATAAATAGATAAATATATAAATACATAAATATATAATTAATTATTTTAGAATATTTTATTAATTATAGAAATTATATTTGCATCTAAGTAAAAAATAATAAAATAATATTGTTATTACTTATAATATATTAATAGTTATTATTTTTTATCATAACAGTATGTTTTGATATTTTTATAATGTTATAATATGTTAATATTGGAAATTTATTATTGAACCGCTGTAGTATCTCATAATCAACCAGTCATAAATGTCCCGCAAACGCTCCAGTTTTTAATCGCTATACCAGTCGTACAAATCGCCTAATAACGCTAGAAACCGCAACCACCCACATCCGCAAACTCCCGCAACCGCAATCGCAACCGCCGCGTTTCAACCAATCAGACCCTTATTCTCTAATTGTTAACTACTCTAAATTCTCTAAGGAATGTATGTGTTTTGAACTAAAAAAATTTAGATATTTTGTATTAAAATAATAATTTTACTTTTAATTAAACATAAATTATAAAAACTATTTACAATTTATTGTTATTGATCTTTATAAACTACTCTGAAATTTCATTTTACTGAAATATTTTAAATTACGAGATTTTAAAGTTTTTTAAGTGATATTATAGTGTTTAGGTAGATTTTAAAAAAGGAATAAATATCCAAATCTTGTAGTTGTATATAAAATTTTAAGATGATTTAACAAATTTATAATAAATTCTTCTATTCGTATAAAATAATTGAGAATATTCGTTACAAATTAAATCACTTAAACCTTTCTAAACTCTCACAGTTGTGTTTGTTTAACTCTCACTGTTATATTAAATTCTTCTATTCCTATAAAATAATCTAGAAAACTCATTACAAATTACATTCGTTGTTATATAAATCAAACATTTCAACAAAACCAAAAATATTGTTTACATTCGTTGTTATATAAATCAAAAATTTCAACAAAACCAAAAATGTCACTTACAACAGAGAATTGACCTGAAATCGATACATGAACATTTTGATTTCAATAGCATTACAACATCAAACACATCACACGAAGAACAACTTAAGTTGCCAAAAACAAGAACAAAAAAAAAAAAAAAAAAAAAAAAACATTGTATCAACTACACCATTTCAACAGTTCTACTACCGTTGTTGTTTTGCTCATTGTTTTCATTTTCACCAGACATTTCTTCAAGAGACTTCCCTTTAGATTCAGGCACCAAGAAAGTGAAGAGAATACCCAATAAGTTAACCACACCTAACACGAGAAGCGAGTTCCTTACCCCAATACCTGGAGGGTATCCTGCATCTGTCTTGTTCTTGTCTGGACTCTGGGCCAAATACAAGAATCCAAACGCACCAACCATCGCACCAAGCTTTCCTGATGCGGCAGAGATACCATGACATGTTGATCTGAACCTAGCTGGAAAGATCTCCGCCGGTACAACAAATGTTGTAGCATTAGGTCCAAAGTTAGCAAAGAAGAAGGTTAATGAGTACATGATAACGAAACCAATCCTGTTATCCTTGTGAGTCCAGTGGTTATATGGAATAGCCAAAGCAAACATAAACACCGTCATGAAAAAGAATCCCATCAGCTGAATAGCGAATCTTCCAATGACATCTATAAACGCCACTGTGAACCAGTAACCAGGTACCGTGCTACACAAGGCGATGAGGGTTTGCGCACGTGCGATCTTGAAAACTTCTTGAACCGCGTTCATGGTTTGAGCTGGAGGGATCCACCCGATGGCACTGAAAATATCTTTTTGGAAAAGGTTTTGACTATAGAAAGCGATGTCAAGAAGGAACCACGTTGATGTAGTGCCAAGCAAATGAAGTCCATGACGTTTCATGAATTCCTTGGAAAACAAGGAAAAGGATTTTGATTTATCCGTTGTGATCTCTTCCAAAATCTGTTCTGGCTCTATCTGCACTTGCAGAACCCTAGACATGTCTGAAGCAGCCTTCGTTGCGTCTTTAGCAACCAAAGCCGTGTATCTAGCGGTTTCAGGCATCTTGGACCTTGAGTAGTAAGTCATCGACGCAGGTATAGCACCAAACATGAGGATTATACGCCACACGAAATCTGCTTGAGGAACCGTGGATCCCAAGGCATCTTCCGCATAGGCCGGCGCTGGGAACTGAGCATCAAATATTGAGGCAATGATAATAGCAAAGATGCCACCAGCCATGATCCCAAACCCTTGCATGGCAAAAACCGCGGAAATAAACGCGCCACGTGTTTTCTTGTTAGCGTATTCAGACATGATCGTTGCGGATAAAGGATAGTCACCACCGATCCCAAACCCTAGCCAAAACCTAAAGAAACATAGCGTGGCCATCACGGATTTTGGCTTGTCGCTAAAAGAGAGACCAGAGGCTACTGAGCAGAGAACCATGATCATCAACGTCATGCCATACACTTTCTTTCTTCCGAGCTTGTCACCGAGCCACCCGAAAAAGAGTTGACCGGCTAGGGTTCCACAGAAGGCAACACCGTTGGTGGCAGCAGCTACATTGGGAGGGAGGCTTCCAGGCTTTAAGGAGCCTGCTTCGTGGTAGTAAATGCGGCCGAGGAGCTTTGTGACAAGTGAGATGCAGAAGAGATCGTAAGCATCGGTGAAGAATCCCATTCCAGCGATTACAATCGCAGTGAAATGGTACCATTGTGTCTTCGCTACATCAAGTGCATTCAACACTTGTAACTGATTGTCTGCCATTTTTCTTCAGCTCTGTAATTTGATCCAAAAATCAATATTAGTATTTTTTCGTAGTAGTTTGAGTGTTATAAGATGGACTAATGAATCATGTAAGCAAGAAACATGTGTGTAAACATGTTTCAATCAAGTAAAAGAAAAGTTCATTTACTAAAATCCATCATCAGTGTTTAAAAAGATTTGTTAAGCAATTATACAGACATGGAAAATAGTTATGTATATATTGTCCATTCCAATATTTAATTCATAATTTTTATATGATTTGCATTTTTGGGGAAAAGGATCCTACTATTTTGGTTTCTTCACCTCCACGTAACCAAATCTTAAAAAGTAAACGATGATATGGTAGGTCTATTATTTATGGATTATCAAGTGATGCTCAGATTGACTAAAATTAATTTTCATCCTTACAGGAAAAAGTATATATATATATGGATTATCAAATGATACATAAATAAATATCGACAAAAACAAAGACTTACATGAAAATACAAATCTTCTTCTACGTGTGTGGAATGATCTTGATCTCTGGGGAAAATGCAGAGAGGGAGGCAAAGAAAGTGAAATGAGGGCTGAAGGCTGCTGATGAACAAGTACATAGTGTTGAAACGCCAATTTATAAGCGAGTCTATATGAGAGATTTATTTAGGACAGGATGTTTCTGTTTTGCTGTAAATGTTATTTTATCATCTAAAACATAGCTGGTCCAATATTATACAACACGTTCTTGTTTTTTTTTTCTCGTAGTTGACCATGATTTGTTATGTGATACGGAGAGTTTAATGCTTGAAAAACGCAAGTATTTTAAATTCTAGGAACTTCACTATTTAATTTATTCACCAGATACCTATTACCTGCCATACTGTCAAGGCAGATATAAGTTTCAAATACTAATAAAGTAAAATTTCGTACAGTTATTTTTGACAATGTCGTACACTTTTAAAACACTACTTATAATACGTGAATTCAATTAGAAGTATGTTCAGACTTTGATTGCTTATTTGAAAGATCTTATGTTTGACATATATGTATGTAATCATCATTTAATTAAAAGAGTGTTACTCACTCTTGAGTTGGCAATAAATCTGAAATACTTCAGATGAAAAAAAAAAATCTGAAATACTTTCACCATATACACTAAAACTTAGTAACAATGCTAGTATTTTAATTTTTTTTTATTAATTTATAGAATATTAAGTAGGCAGTAAATAGTAATTACAGAGGAAATATTATTTATAGTTCATAATTTTTTAAAATATTAACATTTTAAATTAAATTACTAATAAATAATATATAAAACTAAAAATTTTGATTAATGACTTCATCTATCATGATCAAATATATTTTCATATCATATCTGAAAATTCATGTGAAAAATTTGCATATGCACTCTATTTTATTGAGAAACAAGGTTAGAAAATATGTTCATATTTATTATTATCATGTGTGTTAAAATCATTCATTAAAACATAGTCATTTCATAATCAAAATCTCTAGTTCATGGTAAAAGACTCATAGTTGTGAGTTCTTCACCTTAGTTCGAATCTAACCACTCACAAACGCCTTAGCAAGAAACCTGAATTTTTACAGGTTCGTGGTGATTAGTCATTAGACCTAAAAAACTTATAGAATCACCACGGTTATAGAAAAAAAGATAGTCATTTCGTTAAAACTAAACAGTTAACCCAACTTGAAAATTCCATGTAACATAAATACAAATGTCTGTTTTTCCAATTTAGTTGATCTCACGATTACAAACCATAGAGTATGGTGACCAAACCTGTAGAAAGTTAACAGGCATGCATATTTGAAGCCAATATGAGTGAATTATATGCAAATTTACTTTCAAACAATAAGAGGTGATGGTAAACTTCAGCTTTAATTTTCTTCCAGTCCATTTTATTTTCCAACAGATATTATATATGTTTCCTAAAAGTCCTAATGGATTATTAAAACTTATTAACCATGTGTAACTCATAAATCATAGGTTTGTAACAATGAATTCATAATTCAGTAAAATTTTCTTGGTCAAGGAAGCGGGTTGTGGTGGTCATGGATCTCACATCT